TAAAATACACCTTATTCACTGTTGTCACACAAAACGAAATCACTGGAACATATAAAACTATATTAAAATACACCTTATTCACTGTTGTCACACAAAACGAAATCACTGGAACATATAAAACTATATTAAAATACACCTTATTCACTGTTGTCACACAAAACTAAATCACTGGAACATTATAAAACTATACTAAAATGCAACTGGATTTAACCAAATCCAAGATGAGTTTAATCTGAAAATAGACATAAAGAAAATTGTATTTACATTCATTCATGTAACAGCTATAATCAAGCCTCGCACCAAGGGTCACCAGCAAAGCAACTGTTTCATGAAATAGCAGTTACCATCCTTGATCAATTCCTGTCTTAAGGCTGAATTAAATATAAGAATTACACCATGTTACCTAATTCTAAATTTAAATTTTGCTGATGGAACCAAAATAAACTATAGGAAAGTAGAATGTATGATAGCTATTCATCTTCTTCCTGGTCTAATGAATTTCAAATACTGACCTGGACTATTTTCTTAGCTTCACAAAGTCTTCCCAGAAAAAGAAATGACACCAATGCATTACTTCCTTGGAATTGAAGTCTGTCAGGATGGTGATCAAGGTTTCTTCTGATAGTTCTTGAGTTACTAATCATCCAACCATCAATGTTGTGTGACTTACAGTGAAGCAGTGGAGAATGCTAAATAGGATATTGTCACTTTCTTCCCCAGGTAGAAGGTTTTACCAAGAACTTTCGAAAGTTTGTCAGCTGTTATTCTGCTCAACATCTGTTTCTGCTTTGTTATTTGATTTTTAAAATGTGATCCATCAAAGGCGAGCCTAAATTTCATTTCGCTATTTGCGATGCTCATAGTTTGTCATTATTTGGTACAACTTTTTACGTCCCAGGTAATTAATAGGTGAACTATTGCTTCATTCCTGAAGCATATCATTTTCCACCTCATCTCGGAAGATGTAAAATAAGGACCATCAAGAGCTGATCCAATCCATCAGTAAAAGAGTTAAATGTATCAATAAACTTTAAGGGAATAATATTTTCATGAAGTTCCCCACTTCAGTGGCAGTGTAGATGCTGAATTCTAGCACCTCTTCCGTGTTCCTGTAACAGAAAAACAGAAGTTGGTGGTTGAAAACAGAGTGGTGAGGTTTTTATTGGAGAACAACAAGTGGGGTCTGTACTGATTTTTCCTAGTCAGGAATCCATGTTTCAGTATCTGCGTTGAGGTTTGACTAAATACAGAATTAAGTGCGCTATGGTGTTTCCTAAGAATCACCAAGTTAATGCAGATTGCAAAAAGTTCATATATCAAACCCGAAAGCAAACTTCTCTGCTACAGTAAATATTTTATGATCAGTAAGCTGTTACCGTGTTCAGTGATACAATAACGTGTTTAAGTGCTGTTATCATCAGAAGTAACATAGCTTGATTCTCAGGTACCTTGAGAAAGAGCAGTCAGTATGCCATGCCAACTATGATACATGAAAGTCAAAAACCGAACTTCATAACCATCAGTTTACAACTTGTTGCTTCAGCAGTAAAATAACAACACCATAATTCAAGCCGTATGAGATATAGTAATGCCTAATACCTGGTTAAGTGCTTGTATCCTGCTACATATGTACAGATAATACAATAGAAAGGTAAATTAGAGTGTAATACAATATTATACTCTCATGTCTTCAGTATATAATATATCTTCATTCTATTTATATTCTTGGTGCTCCAGAGTAATCTACAAAGTAGATACTCCACAGAACCGTGTCTTCAGCATGAATGTGATATGGTGATGTTTCTTTCTTCCAACCAGTCATCTGTTCTAATAAATGCTTTGGCAAATTTTACTAGTAGCCTTCTCAGTTCTCTCCTATAGCCTGTACTCTCATTATTTTAATGTCCTCAACCAGTGATCTGAGGTGTTTCAGACATGGTACAGCCAATTTACACTAACTCTACTAATCGTTTCAGCTACTTCTTCTATAGGAATAGACAAATTATTTCTCTCTCGCAGGTTGGGACCAGATTTTATCTGGGATTCAGCAGTTGGATTCAGTACTTTATGTCTTTTGTTGGTTTGGTTTGTTTGTTTTTGAATTTCGCGCAAAGCTACACGAGAGCTATCTGCGCTAGCCGTCCCTAATTTAGCAGTGTAAGACTAGAGGGAAGGCAGCTAGTCATCACCACCCACCGCCAACTCTTGGGCTACTCTTTTACCAACGAATTGCCCGTCACATTATAACG